ATCAGGTCATGAGTCACAATTCCCTCGGCGAGTCGAGTTGGAAATGTTTCGGCACCCCACGTCAGACGAACTAGAGGGATACTTTTGCGAGGTCAGGAAACACGAGTTTTCAATTCCAAAAATGTTAGTCAGTAGTCGTCGTTAGAGACTGAGACCAAAAGTCGACTTCGCTCCAGCATCGCATATGTTGCCCTTTAGAGAGCTCTCCTACGAACTCCTGAACGGGAATTTCGGCGAATGGCGAGGAGTTTACGAATACCAGTCCCAGAAGCCGAGATGATACAGAAGTGAGAATAGCCTCCGACCGTGTCAACACTTCATCAATGGTCAGGGAGGTCAATCGGTTGGTTCCCAACGGTTCTGGAGACCTCGGCCGAGATGCATTTCAAACGCTCGTTACGGAATTGATGAGTAAATCAATGAACTCAGATGATAATATAAAAGGCTCACTTCTCAGGCTCACGAGGAGCCGCCGTTCCCGACAAGGCGAAGCTTGAACAGTTCTGGCAGTCCGTAGAGAAGAACTCCCAGGGGCTGGTCAATATTCGGAAGTTTCTTGTTTGGTGAGATCTCGATCGAAGAATCGAGGGGCATCTGCAAAAGTCATGTGGCAATATCAGTGCAGTAGGTACCGTAGTAATAAGGAGAAAATGCGAAGATGAGAAAAGCATGTTTGTCACTCTGTGTACGGCTGTGATTGTTATCATCGTGAAAGTGTTCATAGTAGATAGTGACATAACCACTATGAATACCACACGTCGGGAACTCTTGATAAAATCATATTGGGACAATCTAAAGACGAGGGGTCAGATGACGCAGTGATCCAGGAAAGATGGTATCCAAGCAGACACGCTTAGCAATTCGATAGGAGCTGAGATGTCATGTTGGAACTGCTGAAGATATGAGGATAACATGGGGAATGAATCACCATTCGCGATCAGGAAAATCGAAATTCGCCAGCGAAAGTGTAATGTGGCCTAGACGTATGTCCAGAATCATATACACTGGCTGCTGAAGGGAAAGACAAATAGCGTCCTCTCGCTGCTTAACAGAGTATTAACAGATACTAACACAGCGATTCGAATAGTGAGTAAACAGAGTTGTTCGATGAAATGAGACCACAGGGCCCGCCTTAGGTCTGATGATAGGACACTGTGGCAAGGCCGCAGTAGTAATAGTAATGATAATCATTCCCACTCATAGTTCTATCGAATGTCGACGGCTAAAATCTGAGCATACTGTTACGCAGTAAATGCCAACCGAAGGAACCAGCTCTGAGAAAAACCGTGAAGTAAATGTCGAGCGGAGCGATGCACATCATTTACCGGCTGTTCTTCCTCCAATCAGCAATCTCGAATGATCGCAAGAACTGATCGTAATTGATCCACATTTTTTGGTCGAGCTGTTCCGGCTGTGGTTGATCAAGCACCATCGGTGCTGATGTGCTCACTCCCGGCGGTAGCATCAGTCGAGCCGAGGAACGGGTTCGTGAACGTTCTGATGACAAAACCATCAAATCGACCATCCGGCCACTATCACATCAACCATGAGTATACCTCTGAGCATCTCCAAAGCGCTATTAGTATTAGAAGCCGACAGAGCTCCGAGAGTAGGCCTTCTAGCCTGTCCCGCCACTGTAGCCGGTGGCGGCTCTTCATCCACCGACTTCATGTCTTGATCAGAAGAGGACGCTGACCACCACCATCACCACGCGAATGATGACTACCAGCAACACCCAGCAGACACCTACCATCAGTGAACTCTTCATCAGCGTCAACTGTCCAGTCAAAATGGTCCAAAGCCGCATCTATTTGCAATCTACGAACAAACACATCCTCGACCACAACCACTCGTCTAAACTCACTTCGTCAGCCTCCACTCAGGATCCAACGCTTGGTTCAAAGCAGTAAAGGCTTTACGGAAATTCCTCTTTGATATCTCCCCACAATTTTGCGGGTCCAAACGAGCGCATGCGCATTTGAATGCGTTTCGATGGAAGTAGGTCGCCGCACAGCTATGCTCCATGATCTTCTGAGCCATCACTCGGCCAGCCTCCGTGCCGTCAACATGAAGAGTAGCCATGAAGCGGAAGAGGGACACGTATCCACTATTGGTCGAGCTGACCAGCCGCGCCCCTCGTCCCGAGGCTGGGTGCCCATTGCTGGTCGCACTGCAGGACTCCATCATCCGTGCGGTGAGCTCAAGGAAGTTTCGAGACGGCAACTCCGTTATCCCCAGAGAGGGCAGCTCAGCTGTCAAGGCGTTGACGAAATCTGAGGAGACAGTCGGTATGGGGTCGAGCCGTTACTGCCAACAGGCGTACCGCCGCCTACCTTCGTTGGAGACCGCGCCGGGAATTTTCTTTTTCGCTGGACCTTCTATCTTCTCCTCGAAGAAACGCTGAAGAGCGGTAGATACCAAGGCTTATGAAACTCCCATAATTCCCGAGAAATGAGACCGTGTGCCAAATTTGGCTTGTGGGAAAAACCTATCCTCCCTTTGCACCAACCTGGGTGTCGTTGTCGTATTGTTGCTCAATAGAGTCCCTCAGCCTCGGCAGAAAGTCCATAATTTTCTCGAGCATCTCCTCCTCATTGGCCGACGGCAACGTTTGTGAGTTCGAAAAGACAGGTTCGTGTAGATCCTGAGGAGGCGGAGCGATGCGAAAAGTCGACAACTTTTTCTTCCTCACCCATCGAGCACGATAGAACTCCCCACAGGCACACACGAACTGGCGTGCATCCACCAGCCCAGCTCGACGGCGTTCAGGAGTCGAACACTCGATTAGGGCTTGCCACACCAGTTGGATCTGAAAAAGTGAGAAACAAAATTACACTTCTTAGCGGAGCGACGCGACCTCCTATATTACATGTGTGATGGTCAAGTCAGGACAGTTATCTCGGAGAGACCGCTCGAACTGTTCGTAGTTAATGAGATTCTCTCCAGGCTCCCTATTGAGGAAATTCAAGATGGCAAGATCCACCCCAAGCCCGAACCCTACCCAGTGAGCAGGTCTTGTTGTATCGCCATATCAGCGTTGAGAATGTCCATAAAGAATCCCAGAACGACCGAGGCCAGCCAGGAATCGAACGGACCTACATTCAGGTAATAGGTAATTTAATCACTAAATATTACAAAAAAATTCAAGCTGATATTATATTTATGAAAAGATATACCTATAAAGATTACTATTCTTACTATGAGTCATATAATATGTAGTAATACCATTGTCAGGGCAGCAGACGTTCTCAACAAGCCAGTGTTGCAATATACGATACTTTCCTCAACTGAGTTCAGTAGTTTCCTCGCATAGTACACAAGTACTCAAGAATTCGGATAGAAGTGTATAGAAACCAGTGAGGACTTCCCTAGATTTCCTCCAGATTGTCACTAACACATGCAGTCGCCATGTTCATATTTTCCCACCCTGCTCCGAGGTGTGTCACCAGAGGCCCCTTGGGTTGGAACCTACCACTCTCATCTCGAAGGCTTGCCCGGAATCTATTCAGGAAGTCTAGGTAGTCGACTGTGCCGTCATCTTCCTCTTCAATATCCAGCTGTACAAATAGCGTCCTCCACGGGAACTGGTGTCCGACCACTTGAGCACAGGCCTAAGACCTCCGATGCGCCAGCCATACCACACCTTCATTACATCTTCCCAATCTGCAAGATCAACCCTCATCGTCTTATCTTCATCCCGCGTCCAGAGGTTAGTCCACAGATGTCTCTTGTTCTGCACGATCAGCGACATCGCGTACTCGGAGACCTTCTGCTCAATGTAAAGCCACTTGGAGCTGCTGTTCATGTCCGTGGGCATCCTCGCCGACTCAGTTTCCCTCGCGATATACTGCCTTACGTCTTGACTAGCATTCTTATGCTGAGCGGAGCGTAGCAGTGATAATAGCCGACAGTAGATCAGCCAAGACTCACCTTAGAGTAAACGTCCTGTATTACGGAAAGAGGTGGGCTCCAATGCTCAAACAGATTGCGGGAATACTGTATCTCTGGGAAGAGCTCCGTTGTGAATATCAACAGACCTGGAAATAGAAATTCTCCACCAGGAACATCGGAGTTCCACTCGTTTAACGTGAAGTATGGGACGTATATGTTTCGGTGTCCAACGAGAGAATTTTGAAATATGTTTTTCACTAGTGCTTTCCACATCACCGGTGATATTCCATTGAACCTCATCATAGTACCGCCCACTTGAGATGAACACACCAGTGACATAATTTCACCCTAACCCGGATGGTACTTTCCAGGCTGGGAATGCCCTCAACATTGACACGTTACCTCCGTAATTCTGTGAAGTTCCACAGTAGTTACTCGCTGAGAATATGGTGATAAGCTTATGCTTATGGTGGAAGGAGAAGCCTCTTTGCATAGCCGGCAACTGGTGGCTCCTGCATGTGAGGTTAATGCACTTCTCTGCTTCTCGACTAGTATCACCTTATCACTGTGTGTATGTTATTCCTCGCACAGAAGAGTTCCGTGTCGTCCGGGTAGAATGGTGTACCCCTCCCTTTAGTGTCACCAACTTCCCTATACACAGTTCGTCCAATGTCAATAACAGTCCATCATTCCATCGCCCTGCACTAACCTTGGATCGCTCCATAGGATTTGATACATCCACTGTTCGAACACTCCTTGAGGAGAACTGGGGATTCTCATTCTGTTGGGCAGCTGATGGAAGTATTTGAGGAGCACACATTTCCTGCCCTCATCATCCTGGCTTGTGCTCGTCTGTGGACCCATCGCCGAGGAACCCCTAAAATGACACGTAATCGACGTGGGAATCGAACCCGCGACCTTCATCATAAAAATCCACACGTCTAACCATCCCACCACATTTTTCTATGAATATTACGAAAAGAGAGAGGCGAAAGCCCCTGTGGGTCTTTGAGAACTTATAGGCGAGCCTGAGCCAGGATGCATCGGCAAGCCACCATGAAGCACAATGAGCCGAGGCGAGACGTAGGTCCATATATCTCCCGATGACCATTTTATCTGACCATCACCGCTACTACTACTACACAGAGCAGCAACAATAACGTCTTACTTCTGTCTCGCCATTCTCATTGAGTCCTCTAACACCTACACGTTTATCAAATACGAGTCTCTCCTCGGACACCCCGCCCTACAACAAGGGCTACTACTACTACCTTAATATATCACCTTCCTATACTACCTGATACCAGCCGTTCTCTGTACTCAGCTCCTCGTCATCATCATCACCAGAGCTACTTCCAGACATATCCTCTTCTCCAGAACACTCACGTAGCAATACCGGTACCTACACTACATCTATTACTCTAGTTGTCCAATTGTGATTCGAGTTGATATACGGCGCGTCATACAAATCACAAAAGTCAGAGTCCCTACTCTACTGCAGCACACACCGCCTCAATAAGAGCCACTTACCACTCTCCTATGCTGCCCAGGCATGTCAGAGACGGCCACTGGGGAGGAGCCGACTTTAAGTTGAACCAGCATGTGTGTTTGCTGGCATCGATAGTAGCCACCCCAAGAGTCTATCACACACGACAAAGGCAGACTGTAGAAGACCTGAAACGATGCAGATTCGAGCAAAGGCCTCCCACCGGGCCTGTACTCTTAGGAAATCCCTGTGCATACGACCACCTTCAACTTGGCCAAATTTATGTCTGAGCTCAGCAAGGAAGCCGTAATTCAAGTTACAGTAGTCGTCCTCGTGATTACCACGGAGAATGTACACCTGTGGGAATTGAACCATGGACCTCTCGATTACGAAACGAAAACACATACAACCTACACTTTGCGGACACAGCAACTTGAATAGGAATAAAAGTATGAAGATCTCCAAAGCATGGCCTCCGCGATCAGCAATGTCACCATTGAAAAGGTATCTGCCATCCACGCAGGTTCGATCCCTGGTATCGGCATTTCAAATACTACACGTTATTCTTGTTAGGTACCCCATGTTTGAACAGCATCCACAAGACATCCTCCAGCTGTCCATGAGTGTCACCAACCACAACTAACCGCCCGTCCGCTGGTACCGTTACAGAAATAAGAGCAGTCTGAAAAATGCACCAGCCTAGGTTCGAACCTGGGACGTCACTAGGACAGCCGTGAAACTTACCGGCGCCTCCATTTCTAGTAGTTCATACATCTTGTCAAGGAGACGCACCACCGCTTCAGGACTACAAATCTGAGGACAGCGTAGAGTCCTGCTTATCCAGCAGCGAATTTCGTGGCGCGTGACGATTCTACCGATCTCACCTCTTCACAGTTGCGGTCAGCTACGATACAGTTGGTCCCCATCGCGACGTCCGCCACCCCACCCGAGTTGGTAAAGGGACAATTGGCGTGGAAATCGGTAATGCTTTCCAGCATCTTCATCACCTACAATTCGTCCTCGGTTCGATCCCCGGTAAGGACACTAGCCGTGGCTCACTTGCGCACTAGTAGGGAAACCAGAGGCCTGCCCTGCTGCCGCATCAGTATCGCATTGGAAGAAGAAACGGTCCAAAAGAGGACCTTCCCCACTCTCCACACGACTCCTGGTCCTTTCTAAAAGGTATCACACAAGACAACTCGACACACGTCACCATTGCCTCCCATCCCCCTCGTGGACACGTCCCCCAGTACTACCTCTGATATGCGCCAGAGACTTGACACAAGGCGACACCGCCATAAGATCCGACTCGGGCACCGAATCAAGCTGCTTGAGTACCTATCCAAGGCGCTACGTGTTACTCGCCACTACCCAAGCACTACTACCTTAGAGGTGAACAGACTAGCCTGCATTTGGAAGTTAAACTCGTCCATGATCTCACAGGCGTCAGCTGCTCCCAAATGCCGCTGCTTCAAAAAGTCTTGTCCATCGTGGGTTGGCGAATCCCCCGGGACGGGCCCCACTGAGGGTACGGAAATCGAACAAAAACCAAAATACTAATCTGCTTACACTGAGGACTGTCATCACCTTTCTGTTGGTGAGGATGCCTGGACTCCGCGATGCGTCTCATCCTCACTGGACTAACATTTTCCAGAACCTCTCCTTCTTGATTCGGCTTCAACACCTACGGCTTCCCATCTACTCTTCTGAAGTGGTAGTAGTAGTGCTAGCCTTACCTTCACATCAAATGTATTATTATGAGCATTCACTTGCACGATCGTGCCCGGTACCCACTCCTTGGCGCCTCGCCAGCCTTTCTGTTCTACCTCAACTGCATCATACAAGTCAAAGCCCAAGACGTTGATCGACTGAAAGAGATACGCCTTCCCTCAACAGCAGCACCGGCGACAGCAGTACCGATTGCTTCCTCTCAGAGCGAGAGAGGGAGTGTCGAAGAGGAGACATGTCAGCCAAGTCCCCTGGCTGTAAAGGGTGGTGTTCTGGCAGCTGAATGCTGAGATTGCCACCCCCTTCCTGTTGGAGAGCTGAATCTCCTGTACTCATAATGAGGTCAGCACTGTCAACTGAGGGGCACTATTCATGATCCTATCGGCACGACTATGATGTAGATATATTCAGTACATGTTCAATTCGAACGAGTTTTCCTCATCGCCGACTACGCAAGATCTACTCAAAGTTATCGATTAGAATGGCGTAGCGAGATTGTTACTGCGCAGGTTTGGCCCCTTATGACAAATCGATGAATGTTGGTACTAGAGGTGGTGGAAAGGGAGGGAAAGGTGCTACCATTGGGAAGGGGAAGGGCAAGGGAAAAGGCGGTGTTGTGTCTGCTGCTCCTGGTGGTGGTAAACCCACGCCCAAGAAGGGGTACGACTCGTCTGTGGGCATCCTGTTCGATGATGCCCCTCAGGGCCCCTCCCCTCGGAAAAGGACGAGGCGGCAAGGGCCTGCTGCCACTGGGCGGCATCGTAACAGCCCCTCGGAGATCCCCCAAGCCTGCGAGTCAGCAGCCTGAGGTTGACCTCTTCTTAGACAGCAAGGAGCCACCAACAGCCGAGCAGCTCCGAAAGGAGGATAAGCTCATCAGGAAGCAAATGTATGGGAATCTTTATGGTGATGAAGTTGTTGACTTTCTCTCCGCAATATACACTGATCAACCTTAGATATGCTTCCAATGAGACGTGAAAGGGTAGACCCTATTAGAAACGGATTCAGGACGCTCCCTCCTAGGCAAACGGCTGAGGAGGACCTCAGCTCAGGAGACGAAACAGCTGCTTGTAATAGAGGAAGGGACAATCTCCCACATCACACAAGCTGAAATGTCCCCTACCGATGCAATGCTGTACGGCTCGAAATATTTGCCGACTTCGTCGAGTCAGTATTAGCATTCGAGTTCTTTATGCAGTATTATTACAACCATGCATAGTAGGATGAGAATCGTAGTGTGATCACTATCGAAGTACTCAGTGATGAAATAATTATGAAACTTGGAATTTATTTCCGCTGAAGTAGAATACTCGAGAGGAAATCCTGAGCTCATCCTCAACACAGTAAAAGAAGACCCCGTTGAGCTTGACTCTAGTCTGAGATTGTGAAACGACTTGTGAGGTGAAGCACAACTGGGAGCTCCGGCGCACATAAAATGGCGCCATCAAACGGCGTACACTAGGCTAGAAAGGCGGCCGAGTACAGGAATAATCTAAGGCTGGGACAGACGCTTGTGTAAAACATTTTCTGAGTTCCCTAATCGGTACATTGTATATACCCTATGCACTGCCTTTATCGTGAGGGTCATTTTGATAGTGACCCTCACCGTGTTTAGAGTGGCTCGGTCTATCACTGTTTCTGGTAGATCGGCTCCATACACCAGCAAAATCACTGGGGTAGAGCGGTGTTGGAATGAATGTTCGTATTTCTCAGCTGAGTCTAGAAGTTTCCTCACTAATTATAGAAGTTTACATACAAATTCGGCTGGAAGGGTACAGAAACCAATGGGAATTTCCTCAAGATTCCCACAAATGTCACCTATACATGTGCATATTCTAGAGGAGGTGTTCTGAACGCAAACGTGGCCTCACCTAAGATCACAAGGCTTCTGAGCCGCCTTTCGAGGGCTCGCTACACCTCTAGGCTTATCCTGGCATGATGTTATGCAGATGTGCGTGTGGTACCCGCCGTGCCGACGTGTCCAGAAGAAGCACTGGGGT